TTTTTTTCGACCAGCCGCATCCATTCGAGAAAGCATCAAGTGTTACAAATCCGCATAATCCAAATGCACGTTAGCTAGAGTGTTATTGTAACAAAATGTCGGCCGGCTACTGACCATAACGTTTTATTGCCGCGCAATTAGCAACGAACCTGCAAATCGGGGATGCGATGCTGTAGAGCACCATAGCCTTTGCTGAGAAAGACATAACGTTACTTTTTCTATGTCACCTCTGGCGGCTGGCGATAGAATTAAGTGACCACGCAACTGACCACTCAATTTCGCCGAATGGACAAAGAAAACACGGCGCATGCCGGTGCATTATTGACCGCGGGGCAACTTAATTTAATTGGCTGCTTTGCGATCTTCGGACAGGAGGCCACTGTTATTACGGTCATTCTGTTAAAAACGCTTTTATTTATCATGTTTCTCTCTCTTTATTATTAATTAATCTTTAATATTAAAGAGAGAGAAACATGAAAATAGAAAATATGAAAAAGCAGCATATTTTCGTAATTATAAAAAAAAAAAATTCGAAGATATGTGAAGTCCGCCAATCCGATGTGGGGCTGCGTAGTGGACTATGCCCTGATACCCTCTGTATGGACAAGGCCTTTGATGTGGGACATGTATAGACTTTAAGCATCTTCTATAATATTTTGAATTCGTCATCATCTAAAATCGTTATTTCAAAATAACCAAAACATCAGAGGTGTTTTAAAAGGCCATTTTAACCTCATTCCGTAGATTTTCTTATTTAAAATGCATAATTAATAATTTTACTCAAAGTCAAAGTAGCTGTAAATTATTTAATAACAAAAAATAATTGGTATAAAGTTGCAGAGAACTTAAACTAAGAACTAAGACATTTATAATATTAGCATAGAGAATAAATAACATTTCTTAAAGTATTTTGTTGTTTTAGTTCACATCGGAATTTAAAATAATGAAATACCAAATATTTCATTATTCAACTCCAGAACTTCTAAAAGTGGTGGCGCAATGTATTCCAGAAATCAATGATGCGATATATGTATAGGCGAATATTATAAAATGAATATCGCATTATCATAAAACTGTAATCGTAAACTATACCGGTTGCAACAAATAATAAATTTCCACAATCGCTCATGCATCGGACAATTGGAGTGAATTTATAACCGGCAACATCTCGTAAATTTATAATCGAATTAATTGGGGTGCTGCAGTTCGACTTAATCGAGTCGAGTGGGTAACGATGAATGGCGCTTAATGATTGCGCGCGCCTCGACAATTATTCGAAGGACCCTTTCCCCAGTTTCCAATTTAAATTCACAATTTGGACGCAGTCGTCTTCGAGCGTCTTTTCCTGCCCCACCTGACGCTCTAATTTTAACAGCTGTCCATATACAACCTTATCATAACGATGACTTATCATAATAATGACGTATATTTTTTTATTACGTACAGTACTTATAGAACTTTCAAACTTTCGGAAGATTCCATTATTATTAGTGCATTTATACATATATATGCATGTAGAATGCATATATGTATACATTTTATTATTTCATACAACATTATTAATAACATAATTAAAGCCGACCCAATGGATAGCCACGTGAATCAAGAAAAACTTTAAGCAAAAACGATTTTTTTTTTTTGAGTAATAGGCGATCATTAATTTTATGCGGACTGAATTAATTAAACAATGAGTAAACTGATTTATTTTAATGTTATTTGATGACAACCGTGACCAAGAGCATGAAGAACTTTTTAATTGTAGCCGCATTTGTATATTTGTTACATTTAAATGTAGGACTGCAATTAAAAAGCTTTCGGAGTGACACATGATTGACGCTGTGACGAATTGGCGCCAATTTCATTTAAAACATTATTCTTTCTTATAAAATATTAGAATATTTTTTTATGTGAGAATAACTATTTTATAATAGATAAAAAAGATAACGGTCGCTTATTGACATTCGCAATAACGGTAGGGTTGCAGATGCGTTACCGATTTATAGTAAATTTGCCCCTTCTACCTCACTCACCAGACGAAATGCAGAAGTATAACAATTTCACATCACGCTGCTCTTCTGGCCCTTGTACTTACCCGGACTTTAGTTGACCGTGTCTGTTAAGATGTCATCCGTCCACCTAGTGGGAGGCTTTCCATCGCTACGTCTTCCATTTTGTGATCACCACTCAATGATCTCTTTTTTATCTTCACCATCGGACATCAGTTCTTCGAGCGATGTGGCCTGCCCACATAAACTGGCCAACTCTCAGTTACGTCGGTGGTTCTGGTTCTTCGGTGAATTTCACAATATTATTGATATTACAAAATATCTAAAATATTATACTTGGTACATCTTTTTTTGAAACGGCACACGACGGCATTTTTATTATTGCTAAATTTTTGACACCGCGTATTACTCGCCGCCCTGCCTAAGGTGAACACAGAACAATATACTCTAGGGAGAAAGTGAACGTGAACTAAAGGCGAAACGTCACAGTTAGGACGTTTTCGTAGATTAACAACATCTTTATATATATATATATATATAATTCATCTGTACGTGTGTATCGTGTCACTGAACTCCTCCTAAACGGCTGGACCGATTTTAATGAAATTTTTTGTGTATGTTCAAGTTGACTCGAGAATGGTTTAGATTCACGAAGTTATTCAGAATAGTTTGAAATTTTCGAATTTAAGACGTGTGTACAGGACAACATCAGTCAGGTTCGCTAGTATTCTACATAATAAAACTAGCTGACCCGGCAAACGTTGTTTTGCCATATTAATTATTTGTAGGGTAGAAAAAAATGTTTGGGGGTGGACTACCCTTAACATTTAGGGGGATGAAAAATAGATGTAGTTCGATTCTCTGCCCTGGCCGATATGCATACAAAATTTCACGAAAATCGGTGGCGCTGTTTCGGAGGAGTTCCGATTACAAACACCGTTACAAGAGAATTTTATATATTAGAAATATCATTGATTCGAATAGTTTTTGAAAATCCTTATTAATTATCTTCTTTCTCGTGCCCTTACCCTACACGAGTCGGGGTCGGTACAACATGTCCACCATTTATTTTCGGAACCATTTTGTTATTTAAGTTATTGGTTTTATTCTTATATCTAACTTAAATCATTTCAAAAAGGAAACTTTTGCCCTGATCGTCGTATTATCTCTTAATGCAGTTCTTAACAATAATTCAAAAAGAAGGCACTAAGGGATCGTAACTTGGCCTTATTTCAGAATTTTGGAGATTCGATGCCGATGCATCTGTACTTATTTCAATTCCATCAACATGACTATGTTCCGGAGATTGGGAAACAGGTGGACTTGTGAGGTTGTTATTAATGTGCAGGTTGTTTATCCTTTTCGATAGCGGCAAAATTTACATCGTTGTCAATGTGACAATGACAATGTCATCCTCACGAGATCGTTATTTATTTTCTGTCATAGTTTTTAACAAAGAGAATATAACCACTACGTTTAACATGTTATGGTTTTTAACATGTTATGGGCACATTATGAGAAGGGATGAAAGTCATGTGACTAGAAGAGTGATGGAAGACCGATAAAGATTTGGATGGAATGTGTAAAAAATTATTTGTCTGTGAAAGGGGTCGGTATTGAGATGAGGGCTGATAGAGGAAAGTGGAAGGAAAGGACATGCTATGCCGACTCCGCCCAGTGTGGGATAAGGGCAGGAGGAAGAAGTTCTAAGCATATAAATTCATTGCTTCAAAAACAAGCGTTCAGTTTTCTACGGGATTTGTTCCGAAAGTTATTAGTTCGTAATTCGTGTTTCAATACGCAAATTACCTTTAAATAAAAAATAAACAGAAATACAAACATGATAGACCACGTTGACGTTTTAGACATTTCCTTAATTTTCAATTCTTGTTAATATTTTTAGAAAAAACCTTAAGTACCTCCATTACACAAACCGAGTCGAGCCTAATGAAAAAACTAACAAATGTAAACAAGAATTTCCACGTATTAATGGTAAATTGTTACTACTGTTATCCCTGGATCCCTATAATTATATGGATAGAAAAACGGCACCTGGACGTTTATAACATATGTTTAGAAATGATGTGTCAGCAAAAGGTTTTTAGAAATTTAAATTAATTTAGTATTATAGCTTTGATCATATTATACTTGTCTATTGTAGTGACCTCTACTATCTCGAACCTAAATGATAAAAATAAGTTTAAAAAAATATATGAATGAAATTTAGATGGCGCTATATTTCTATTAAAATATTTTGGCAAGGCGTATTGCCTTTAAATTCACATTTGTGATCAATGTCATCAGAACTGAATAAGAGCAATAATAAATTTTATATTAATTGTATTTTTCAATTTAATTTAATGTTTTCATAAAACGCACATTTAAATATTACACTACTCGTCTACCTATTTGCATTTGTTATCTGTGAACTGTTTATTATTTGACTTTGACATTTTAAATGCTACTGACTTCTGTCACTCTAACGCCCGGTTTCTGAAACACTGATCATCGTAGATGTTAACAAATCAGCTGTCAAATGGCTTTTCAAATGTCATTTGAGCTGCCAAAAGGCTGGTTAAAATCTTTGAATTGATCATTCTGTCTGATCATTAAGAAGATCATTCTGGTCAATTCGGGAGTTTCAACATACTTTTGGCAACCCAAATAACATTTAAAAAGCCATTTGACAGCTGATTAGTTGACATCTACGATGATCAGTGTTTTCAGAAACCGGGCGTGAGTCTGCTGGTCTGCGATCGGCTCCGACGACCGACTGATTTAATCAAAATAGTATTACTGTAATGTTGTGTATTCATTACGATTCCTATTCCATTTAATTGATTAATTATATTAATTACATCAATTAAAGGTACAGAAAGTAAAAAAAAAAATACAAAGCAAATGTACTGAGACACGGGTATAAATATTTAAATTGCATTTATTTCATTTTAAATGTCTACTCAATCCAAGACAATGCCGATGTTTGATTTGAAAATGTACGTTCGCGTAGTGGCTGCAGTTTTCACGGTAAGGAAACAGTACTTATATTTTAAAACGAAGTGTGTACAGAAGCACATAACGAGTATCATTACTCTTTTTCTTGTTGACTCTTTTAATTAGATAAATAGTTGTTTCTCTATCGATTAAAAATATTTGTAAACGTAATATTGATGCTCTTGGACAAATATATTCTGAGCTTTTTTTATCAATTTAATCATAATTATATGAAGAACTAATCAGGCATGACATATTTTATTCAATGTTTATGTAAAAATGTCATTGCTATACTCCATCCATGCAAATTACTTACTCTACATTGATTACATTAATTTATATTTTTATGTGTGTCTATGAAGAGTGGAACACTTACTTTACTATAAAAAATTGTTGGATGAATGTAGACAAAAGATCAAGTTATAGCAATACATTGAATTGTTTATTTTCAGGTATCTTCTATGACTGCATTTGCATTTGTACTGGTGCGTCTGTTGAACCCAGAGTTGTTTTATGACAAGCAGTTGGTTGGAACTAATTTAAGTAAGATATAAAATTTTAGCTTAGCGTAATGTCCCACACATATTTATTAATACACTTAAACATGGGTAACTGCTGGCATCTGATCAATCAAAAGCAATTCAAAGTCTTTTGCAAATCTTAACATGTATTTTAGAAACAATTCAAGGAACCAAGTAGCTTTAAATAAGGCCAGCAGTGTATTATTGCTACTACTTCTAAATAATGTTATATCTTCAGGTTAATTTACTTGCAGTTTTGTTTCAGTTATCCACTACTTTATATCGGGTCTGATGCTGTTGACGAGCGCAATTGGCTTTTTGAACAGCTGCATGGTGATAAACCGCAGTGGGACAAACAGTAGTCGTTATATCACCACATGGCTGCTGTTGGACTCCTTGTTTGAGACCTCTCGGGTAGTGTACATCTTTGTCTGTGAGGTGGTGCTCAATGGCACCGGCTTGATACAACGCTACGAGCTAATAGTCAGCGCAGCACAGTACTGTAAGTAAAGTAAATTTTTCTGTTTTGGTATTATAGCAGCAACCAATGTTGCATGGGTGAGCCTTCTAGTCTCATGAATACCATGATGATAACCATGTATATCTGATATGCATTACCTATGACTAATAATAATTTCATTAGTATGGAAGACTATATAGTTAAGACAGCCTGCCATTGGAACAAGTGTCCACATAATTTATTTTTTCAAAGTAAAAGTATAATTATTCAATATAGGCTTAACTTAAGCTCTTATTGAATGTCAACAAAAAATCTACCACCGATTCACTAATCTAGACCTGCACAGAGAAGAACCCACAAGAAACTCTGCGGTCTTGTTCTTATTGTTATTTTTTTTTATAAATAAGATATCATCACCTTGTTGGCTGCCCTTGTCCCCACTAGGTGGAATGGGCACAACATGTGAATCTTGTTGTTTGTGCATGGTCCTGAATAGGCTGTTTACGACTAGCCACCTGCCTGACGTGCCTCCTTGGGAACAAACGCCCAGATCCGGAACAATTATCCGTGGGTCACAAATGCATCTCACGTGAGAATTGAACCCATGACCCCCAGTGCCTTAGTCAATAGCTAAGCAACTGCGCCACTGAGTCAGGACTAAAGAAGATATAAATATAATAAGTAAACTAATGGCTGTTATTCAAACATTACTTTATGAACTAAGCCACAAACCTACTATGTTCACTTTATTATAATTTATGTAAAATTTGTTTTAACTTTTAATATTAAATTTGGTAACCTAGCAATGCCATCGTCATGGTTCATGAACAATGTGACTGAAGTGTGCGCAAGTCAGTTGTTACCTACGCAATTTCTTACAGTTTTTGTCTTGAATGATTTTTAACCATGACCTTGTTTTCTTTCAGTGTTAGACAGCTTTTTCTACTGTCAGATGATATTGAGACACTAGCAGCCATCGAGAATGTTATTTGAAACTGTCCCAACTAGCCTTAAATTATGAAAATTATCTAACCAAAGTATTGCACTTCACGTGATCAATCTAGGATCTCTGTTAAAACAAAACTTGAGTATTAGTAATGGTTATTTTAGTGTAGAAAGTCCTGAGGACAGATTATAATAAATTACTAGGAGGTAACTTGTACACAACACACAAACAATTGTGTATGTGAAACAATATTCCACATTTTCTGTGATTTTGTCAAAGCCTAGCCATTTATATATATATACTAATTGTGAGAGACTGTTTATTGGAAGTTAATTGGTTTGAAGTATGTATTATTATTTTTTAGGGTTTTTTTAAATTGTGACTTTTTGTGTTCTGAAAACAATTTGAACCTCTCCATGATGCCTTTTACATTAAAGGAGAATTTCTTAAATTATTGAGCATGTTACTAGATGTGTTACAACACAACGGAAATCAGAGAACAATTTGCTTTTTATGATAACATAAAGATATTTACATTTGCTTTTCATGCTGGAACTAGCAGTGGTGACTTTGTCATGTTTTGGATAATATTTGATTGATATTTTATAGCATAAGATGCACATGCAGACCGAGTTATAACATCATGTCACAAAAATCATATTTGTAAAGTAAGCAATACATTGGTTGATTTACACAAATTGTAAAATCTTTAAGTTTGAAAAATAGTTCAATGTTACTAATATTTGTACTTGTGCTAATGTAGCAATGTAAGTATTATTATATTTACAGTTTAAAAAACATCATGCCTGTAGCAATTACGTGACGGACATATTTTATCATTCCTTTTTTTTTATATTCCATGTTATTTTAATTTATAAGATATCTTTGTTCCAAAATTAACGGGCACCTTTTTCATTTATCGTAATAATTTTAAGCTTAACTCAGACTGGCGCAGCATTTATTTTCCCGCCGAATTTTCTTTGTAAGCTAAAGCTAACATAATGTGAATTTAAGTAAGATTACGAATTTAGTTCTATATATTAACATGACTGTGGTTAGTGTTTGCCTATATAATGTTAAACTGTCGTTTCAGTTATTTTCTCATTGCGACTGCCCTGACACTTGCTACCATTAAATTTGTGTCCATTTCAATCTTAGACTTAAGACTGTTTGACAAGAAAGTAATTGAACTGTGCAGTCGGTGATTATGTGAAATCTCAGTCTCCTCCATCAAAGACAATATCAAATTAAAATTGTTTGGATAGGAAGAATCTCTTTTCTCAGCTTTGCGTGTACGTTATTTCATAATATAGTTTGGATACTTTATCCCATACAAAATTTAAAGTCAACATCTTAATAAGAGTTGGGCCAAGCGTTAGATAAGTGAATATTATCGCAATGATTAGTGGCATGACAAATGATGCTATTTTTCTTCGCTCTAAGTAATTAATTGGTTTGCTTTGGCAGTTTCAGTCTTCCTTTAGTCATAAATTCTATTTCACTGTAGATGTAAATTAGATGTATATGACACCCACAATGCACATCAGTATTTTGCTGTCTTATGTTTTATGTATCGAGAATCATCATTTGTTTTCAGGATGCCATTATTCTGGCTCATTTGGTTAGGTTTGGATTCGATGTAGAAATTATTATTATATCGTGAAACGTATGGAAATTGTACTAGTCATGAGAAATTATTGTCGAAAAGATGTTTCAAACTTTGTATACTGTCGTTACACGTTTATGTTCGTTTCAATAAAATGTTGGTGGAAGGGGAGGAAAAAAAAAACAAAGTCGCGTTTCAGTCGTCAATCGTCCCTCTTTAATCAATCTGCGGGTCGTTCCAAAAATATATAATGCATACACAGCTATCAACACTTCAACAGGCCACAGTTTTACAAGTGCACTTGCCTCTCGCCAACTAGAGCTAGAAAGGAAACCGCTTAAGCCCCTCCACGCGCGCCGACCGGCCTCTGCCGTTTGCGGACGGCGCGTGTGTAGAGGGCGCGCGATGCACCGTCAACAATAAACTCGCTGAAACAACTCAAACGTCAACAACTCTTTACGATCTGTTTGTACACTCCATCGGATATGTGGCGGTGGACAATTACGTACCGACTACTATACAACTGTTACCCTGTACACTTCGTAGAGGAAACGTCCGTACGATATCAGAGTAGGCCTAATTTCGCTGAGCACTGCTCTATCGTCGGTCGACGGGCAACATTGACAAATTGACACCGCTTTATTTTTAAAATTTTAAAGAAATGCAGCGGGTCGAGTTAATAAATTATTGTTACGCAAATCGACAAACCAAGATTGCAAAACTTGAAACACAACATGAATCAAAAACTTCTGAGCAACTTAAACATGTGTTAAAATGTTGCTGTTTTGATTTTTTTTCCAAATTTTTTTTTTTTTAACAATAGCAGCTTTAAAGATTTTCAGAAAATAATAAGATATCGGTAATAGTTTTAAGAATGTCAATCAGGAATCAAACAATAAGCATCAATTAGCGCAATCACGGATATTACACAAACTTTACTCGTCAACCGACGACACTAAATAAAAAAGCGGGGAATGCTTCACGAGAACACTGTAAATCGGATTTCCCGCTTTTTATACATTACATCCATTACGAAAAAATAGCTAACAAATTAAGTTTCAAACACTCGATCATAGAAAAAATACTGTCATCGCGACGTAGTCTCCAATTGATTATTTTTTTAACGCACTACCCTTATAACAATCTTAGAAAAATACCACCGAATATCCAACTTTCTGATTTCTCAATCGCAAATGGCACAAATCGGATCGGATTCGCGATCGAAGTCATCGGTGAACGGGATAAAGATTTCTAATTCGACTATAACTATTGCTCGTGATACGAAAATACTATGAACATTTTTTTTATAATTTAATGGCACTTCTAAAATTTCTGTTTTTTTTTTACTTTAATTACATTATAAAATTTCGGAGAGACTTGCATTTTGGTGTTAATGCTTCCGACCTACTGTTACGAGTAGAAAAAAATGTACTGTATAACTATTATCTGTTAAGTATTAAAAAAACAGAGCATTACAATAACTATAAAATAAAAACAAAAAAGAATGATATTTCGGTGAAATAAAAATGACGATAGTAGTCAACTTTATCACTTATTGGTTCGCATCGATTGGCTGGAAAAATTAACACCAAATATAACACACGTAAGCTATACAACACTAAAGTGTCGATAGGTTAGTCCTGAGACTAAATCCCCCACCTCCGTCGGGAAAATAATTTGTTGTCCCCTTCCCAACCGGAGAGAACCACCGAGAATATCACCCCCTCAATAAATTCACAAATCTCACAACCCTCTACTAAGGTCATACTTTACAAGTGTGAATATAATCTAATATATTGCTATATTACAATCCGCGACACTTTACGTCTGAGATCCAAATAAAACGTAAGAGAAAAAGGAACTTAACGTACAACTGTGAGATACACATCTGAGAACGAAACGAAACGGATCTTTGAATCTCCGCTATCACGAATCAAATGCAAATTAACTAAAATGAAAAAAAAAAAAAAAAAAAAAAAAAAACACTACGAGCTATCTACACAATAATATTGTCATGAATTTGTTACAGTATGCTACAACAGAATCACGTATATTTCTCATTCATCGATTTTAAGCAAGCTAAAAAAATATGTTAAGATCGGTATGTAAATAGAATACTCTGAAGCGCGTTAGATGGCGCCAGTTTGGACTGGCGAGGAGCGCCATCTAGCGGACACCGATCGTAACGTCAGGGCGCGGCTAGGAGTCCTGCGAAGAGCGCTAGATGGCGCCACACTGCCAACGAGGAGCGCCATCTAGCGAGTACAGATCGAAACGTCAGGGCGCGGCTAGTTCTGTTAACTGCGCTAGGTGGCGCCACACTGCCAATGAGGTGCGCCATCTAGCGGTTGCGGAACGAGACGTCAGGGCGCGGCTAGAAGTTCTGCTGGCGCTTTCGCTTGAGGTGTATGGCGTCGAGGATGGGGCGCCGCTTCCGCTCGTAGCGCGCTCGCAGCTGCTCGATCTCGGCCTCCATCTCTGCGTCCAGCCGCGCCATGCGCGCCTCCAGCTCGCCCTCCGACAGGAACGCCAGCTGCCACACGAGACCCCCTTCACTACCAGCCCTTACCCGATCTCCATGCACGATCAGTGACAACTTATGCAACACCGAAGTAACCATGGGTCAATAAAACGCATCCCTCTCTTTCAAGGGATACATCTTAGGTACATAGTATTTTTCTCTCATAAATACAACTTTAACATAGCGTTTACCGCATGGTGATTTTCAATCGCATCAATTTCACATCACATCCATTTCGCGGATAGTATAAATATATTTTATAAAAAAACAAGCATTAAATCAATGATTTAAATCTAAAATGGCATCTAAAGTTCCGGAAGATCAGGAGTACTGTATGGTGTACCACAAGGCTACTATTAGTTCCCACAATCTTTCGTCTTTATAATATATATGAAAAAGAGAAAATCCATGTAAAAGTTAATGCATCGGTCTTTACTACTAAATTTATTACTATTTATTATAAATCAAATATCGCCCCGTAAGTCCGCCATAGAGATGCCGTCAATGCATTATAAAATAAATACATAAAAATTCTTAAACATAATAGAAATAGGAAGTTTACAGACAGGACCACAAACAATACACTGAAAGCGTGTATGAGAGATATTAAATCGCATGTATAAAGCGTTCATAAATGATAGAAGAAATAATGTTAATAGCAACAATCATCTAACGGACAGGAATTGTTAACAAAACGTTGTGCCGGACATATTTTGTTAGTGGTGGCGGGGTAGTGGGGTGGGGGTGGGGGTGGGGGTGGTATGGGCGCGGACTTACGGAGCACGTGAGCGAGCGGCAGCAGCGCCACGACGTGCAGCTGACTTACGAATTCGAAGTTGCCCTCCTCCACCAGGGCGCGCTGCAGACCCGCCCCCGCGCCCGCGCCCGCCCCCGCGCCCGCCTCCGGCCTGCGGACGGCGGAACTTCACTTATTTATGCTTTAAAGAAAAAGAAAAGGTAACAAAGAGCGGACTTGACGTCCGGCATTCTCTATCAGTCAACCCAGGATGTAGTGGTTTAGTCACGGCGCTTAGGCTGCCCGTACACGCGGAACTAGCGAGTATTGCGGAGCGGAGCGAGGACTGTGGAGCTAGTACTGGTGTATAGCTAGGGATGTCGAACAAATATCGATATATATAGCCGTATCCCGTGCCCCCGGCCGATGCTATACATAGTGCAGAGCTAAAAGCTCACCCGGCGTGGTCGTGGCGCTCCGCGTGGTCGCGCCGCTCGAGGTGGTCGAGGCCGTGGTCGTGGGCGTGGTCGTGGCCGTGGGCGTGGTCGGGGCGCGCGGGCGGCGGCGGCTGGTGGGCGGGCGGCGCCAGCGTGCCGTTGGCGGCGCGGCCCAGCTCCTTCTTCTCGAAGTGCTCGAGGAACAGCGGCCGGTACTTGGGCCGGCTCGTGTCCAGCGGGTCCGTGTCGTGCCCTGCATCACCGCACGTCGCTACAGTCTAAGAGCTAGCGACGTTTTCGAGAGAGAATTTCAGCTTCTTAGACATGCTATCTCTCTCACTCTCCCGGACGTCATACGGGTTACCTGGCGGGCGTTAAAGGTTGCGTTCCTCAGTGCTCGCGCAGTGCACGTTTTATGTTTCGGTAGAAAGCAGCGTTACTCATTTATTTTATGTATCGCCGGGGAGTTTTCGACGCTGCGGGAATCGAACCCGCGTCTTCGTGATTCGCGCCCAGACGTTTTAAGCACTGAGCTAAAGGGAAGACGAAGATCCCCGTTTGTGTGTTCGCATTTAAAGGAACTCGTGGCAATATTGAGTTAATTCGAGTAATAAGGCGTGCGTGATACGCACTCTTCATGGTGGCGAGGTCGGGCTCGTTGATGACCATGGTGCCCAGGTCGGCGGCCAGCTCGGCGCAGTCGGCGTCCCGCGCGGGCACCAACGTGCCGTCGCGCTGCTTCATCGTCGCCTCGCTGTAGCCCTCGCCCTGCGACCGGTACAGGGGACTCTTCGAGAACTGCTGACTCGGCGGTATAATCGTTTATTCAAATAAAAATACAGAGACTTTCTTCCAAAACAGATCACGCACTTTTTGAGTGATTTTAAACATTTATCATTTTGATATAACATTATTTATGACTAGAATTTAATAAAAAAGAATGGACACACTTAGAAAAGCCACCCCCGTACATCATGTTTTAATACATTTTTACATTTTGCCACCCGCTCTGCTACTCCCGAGTTCCGATTGTACCGCCTCCTCCCTTCGCCGTTGTGGTATTGCTCTACCATTGCAGATAATTAAACGAAACTAGAACAATAACTCGTAGACTTGTACCTATACGTGCTCGACTCCACTCTACCATCTACTACGGAAATAGCCAATGGCAACACTAACGTAATAGTGTACAGCGAGCCCTCTCCTCTGCCCCTCGAATTGTTACTACCCCCCACGGCTCTACTCACCGCGCCGAAGGTCTTGGCGTTGGTGCAGTTCTGCGCGCTCCTGAAGGCCTGGCTCTCGCGGATCTCGCGCGCCTCCGAGATCATCGTGCTCAGTATGCTCGGGTGCTTCGCGTTGCCTGGCGATGACAATCACGCAGTGATGACAATTACTGGCTTCGACTCCCACACGGGGCGAGTCGTTGTGTTGTTTATTTCAAAGGAAGAAACATTAGCAACATGACTCACATGTTATGCCGACCGCTCTATTGCGAAATAAAGAAAGAAGAAAGATACGCGATATAAAACAATTTACTTAGATTACAAGCAATAATGCATTTGCAACAATTTAAATAGTGGCAGTTATTTAAAATTCTTATATTGAAACAAATTATAGTCATCTTAAGCTCGAATTATAACTACTCTAAATAGTATTTGGTCCTTGGAACAGGATAAATGCTTCAAAATCGATCTCTTGCATGGTACAATCGATTGTTCTGAAAATTTTGGACACCACGTCTTGAGTAGAAGTCTCGTCGTCTTTCATCCGGATGGAAGATATATTTAAAAATCTATAGACTTCTTTGTTAAACAACCTTTTACAGTTTGTACCAGATTCGCCGCCAGTGGTATAGAGAGAGGTAACAGTATTTATCAATAGCCTATACGAAGCGCTCTGTAGTCTGTACTGAAACTGACCTATAAATTCGTGGTTGAGCAGAAATTCCGCCGTCGCTCGCTCCTCGGGATTCTTAACCAGACACTGGCTTACGAAGTCTATGAACTCGGGTGACCATTGGTCCGGTTCCCTGGAAATTCACAACGAAAGCAGTTATAAGCAGATTTGGATTAAAATTATCATTAAAAGTTAGGACTTACAGTTGGACACCATACTCTTACTGATAATCTGACGGTGCGTTTACCGTAGTGAGAGCCAGACTTTTGTGCATGGAAGCCGATCTCTTTGTTAATATATTTCCTTTTTGTAATCGAGTTTCTACGTTTCATCGCGCATATAAACAATCCAGCTACCTTTGAGTATTTTTAATGTTCGTTATGGTTTTTTTAACCGACTTCAAAAAGAAGGAGGTTATATATATATTTTTTTTTATGAGTGTTCACGAATAACTTCGCCGTTTATGAACCGATCATTGACGATTCATTTTTTGTTGGAACGGAGATATCCCAAGAGTGGTACCATGATTAGCAAACTCGGATCTGATGAAGGATACCCAGAGAAATCGAGGGCAATCCTCAAATGTTATAGGTGATAACAATGTTTTTTAGTTTCCGGTTTGAAGTCGGATATTTTTTTGTTAAAATTATTTTCTAAAATGTTACTGTTAGGGTTTTTTTATACTCAGTATTGTATACTATTTGTATAATAACTGAGTGGTTCATTTTCACTTTCTCAAGATTGAGATGGGTAAATCATGTTCATTAAAGATGCGTTAATGCATTAACTGACAGACTATTTTAAATAAAAAAAAATCAAGTTCTGTCCATCTGGAGTTATCATTCGGTGATACCTATGTTACCGAAGAGATGTCATCCGAAGGAGGCGCGATAGCTCAGTGTCCAAGCGCTGGATTTTAACTCAATACACTCGAGCAATTAAAGTTCAAATCCTGGTACCAGCACCAATGAAATATTTACAACATCGCGAGGAAACCTGCATATTTTCGAAATGATAACAAAAAAAAGAGATACGTGAAGACTGCCAAACTGCGGTGAGGACTGGTGGACTATGCCCTAATACCTTCTGTGCAGAGGAGGCCTTTGCCCAGCAGTGGGACGTATAGGCCGTTACCTGAACGAGGGCGGCGGCTTGGTGGGTATCATGAAGATGGCGCGCATTGGGTGTATGTCGCCGTAGGGCGGCTTGCCCTCCGCCATCTCCAGGGCGGTGATGCCCAGCGACCAGATGTCAGCCACGCAGTCGTAGCCGATCTCCTGGATCACCTCGGGCGCCATCCAGAACGGAGTGCCGATCACCGTGTTCCGTTTCGCCATCGTGTCCTGCCGGCGCGCGAGCTTTAGCGTGGTGGTGCCACGCGGCAGTGCTCGCTGTTGCACGAATGGGCAGGGCACGCACCACGGCCTCACGGAAGACCGCAGTGAGGTGGGAGTGGTATACTTCTGCGCTTCTGCTGAGAGAGGTGACCGGGGCCCGCTTTATTGAAAGGTTGCACCGCATCTGCAACCCTACGGGTTTTGCAAATGCCCATGGTTGGAGGTTTTTTTGTGTCTATGTCAGAAAGTGGCAAACGAGCTGATCACCAGGTGGTAAATGACAACCGCCGCCCATTTACAACACCCATAGGATTTCTGCCACATTCTAATAAAGTGGGCCCCAGTTGCTTCACTCTCCAGACGAGAGGCAGAAGTACAGAGAACTTCCACTTGACGCCGATCTTCTGTGAGGTCGTGGTACTTACCCGGACAGACCTCCCGTTCATGCAACCGAAGACTGCTGCCTTGCCATACTAACATAAATTTTACTTGCAACACATAAAAAGAAACACTTTACAAAATCAATGGATTCGGAGACTATATACTTGATGACTCCGTAACGTAATTGCCAAGCTATTGGCTTTTGTAAGGCGATGTTTTCTTAAAAATATAAAGGACAGGACACATTTTTACACAGCGTATTGGTCCCTAACTGAAAGTGCTCAACAATCATTCAAAAACAGTTTTGCAGACTCAAATGGCAAGAATTCTAACAAATAATCCAACTCGATATATACCGACTCACCGTCAACTGTCCAGCCACGCCGAAATCGGCCAGTTTCGCGTGACCCTCGGTGTTGAGCAAAATGTTCCCGGCCTTGATGTCCCTGTGGATCTTTCTCCGCCGGTGCAGGTACTCCAGACCCTTGAGGGTGTCTATTAGAATGGTGGCGATCTCGTCCTCGGATAGCGTCTTCTTCCTTAGCCTCATTATGTCCGACACCGAACCGGCCCCGCAATATTCCATCACGATCTGGAAACGCGGGGCGCGTTGCGGCTGATTTTACTAGGGCAGTTTAACCCATAACACTTGACCAAAACAATTGTTATGTAAAACTGAATTGTTTTGCAAGGCAATATAGGCTTATTTTAAGCTTTTATTGAACGACAAAAACTACCATCGCTCCACCAGAGAAGAACCGAAAAGAATCTCTGACTGAGGTCTTGTTATTTTCTCTGTACCCGAAGGGTAAAACGGGATCCTATTACCTAAGACTCCGCCTGTTTGCCTCTTTGGACAGACAGATGGACTGTCCGTCTGTAACCAGGCTGTATCTCGCGGAACCGTGAAAGTTAAACAGTTGAAATGTTCACAGATGATGTATTTCTGTTGCCGCTATGACAACAAATACTAAAAAACAGAATAATATAAAATATATTTAAGGGGGGCTCTAATACAAAAGACATGATTTTTTGCCGTTTTTAAACGTAATTGTGCGAAACGGTTTATTAGTGATACAAGTACAAGTGCAGAGCAAGTGGCATTTCGAAACATCCTTACCCTCACTATATTCTTCGACATTATAATAGGCACTTGCCGTTAAGGTAGCTTTTACGAAATGTTTAAAATTCTTTACACATGCAGCCGGTTTCTGAAACACTGATTATCGTAGATGTCAACTAATCAGCTGTCAAATGGATTTTCAAATGTTATTTGCGTTGTCAAAAGTATTTTTAAATTCTTGAATTGATCATTCTGATTATTTAGAAGATCAATTCAGAGAGTTTAACAATCCTTTTAGCAACTCAAATAACAATTGATAAGCCAATTGACATCTACGATGATCATTGTTTCAGAAACCGGGCGTTAGTCGTGGATGTTGGATGTCACATAAGGGCTATGAAACAATTGGAACAGGCCCCTCACCCATAGGTCCGTATTCTTGAAGTAGCTGCCGTAGTACTTGACCACGTAGGGGCTGTCGCACTGCTGCATGATGGAGATCTCTTTGATGATCTCCTGCAGGTCTGTGTCCACGGGCACTTGTTTGATCGCGAGCACCTGCCCGCTCTCCTTGTGTAGGGCCTGCAAAGCGAGGCGTTTTCAACAAGTGCATGTAATAATGTAATGGAAGATCCGTTCATGCGTCCACGCATACAACGGGAATTTTTCTTGACAACACGTCGTGGCGGATAATGTAAAATACGGGAGTTGATAATGGAATTTATTATTTATCATTACATTAGTTACATCTAACAAAATATGGAGAATTCAATTGAATGTTCGTCAACCGCCATTTATACGAATGCTACTAAACTTTGTGTACAGTTTAGGAATCTTTATATCGCATATATATATATCGCTATTGGTAAAATGGTCTATTTTCAACCGACTTATTATTTATCCATCGATCGATCCCATATTCATTAATTCCCATTTTTCTCCCATTAGTAATGGAGCTTGACCTCCGTAAATAAATAAAGAAACTCCCCAAAATCAAATATAAAATGTATAAAGGGTGAGTTATTTGGAGTTTCTAAAGTTCTAAATTCTTATCGACAAAATGTATACTGTTTGAGTATACAGCTGATATTGTTTGTTTTAAAATAAACGGATAAAGTATTATTTGTTTTGTTAAACATGTATGACTATTACAAACTACAACTTTCGGAGCATAGGTCTTTGGTATAACAATGACCAATTGTTGTTTTTCCCCCACACTATCCTCTGCCACAAGATTTCAAATTGTTTAATTGAAACGTTTTCCTTCAAACACACAGCAAGTAAAATCAGCATACTCGTACAAAATCTAGAGCACTACGTAGAGCAAGTTATCTAAACATAATTATTATTTTCTAACTTATATATACCTCGAAATGTATATTTCTATTTGTAATGAATGTTATAAAAATGTATCTTTTTATGTTAATAAATACTTGGGCGATCGGATAGAATAATTTGAAATATGGAAGGTCACCACACATCAGTTTGAGATTTCTCAAATTGCTTTCTGCAAAAAACTCAGATCGAGGTACTATAATCGACAGGAAAGGGGGGAATTACTCTGTTTTATTCAGACGCCTATTTTATTTATATTAGAACACATAATTTAACGCAGACTAATGCAGAATTAGACAGCGTGACTATTTATTTCATCGAAGACCGTTCGGCGATATCACACTAGACATTGGGAAGGATAACCTTTGAAACTCTACCTTGTAAACGCTGCCATAGGAACCTTCCCCGAGTTTGCAGATGATATCGAACACCTCCTCAGGTTGCCGCGTCAGACTCTCTTCTGATAGCTTCTTCAACTCACTGCAAAGAATGAGAAATATATTATTGTTAATTTCACACGGACAACTAGGGTTGCCAAACGTTGCGCTAGGAACGTCTTTCAAGTGCTGATATTTATTATATTTTGTCATTTCTCCATATTCTATTTACAATTCTATGGCGTATATTATATCTGTCATACTACATATTAAATTCACACTTAAATAATGGATAGTCCATTTAAATCGGTTGGCAAATAAACAGTATTACACACAGATGGTGTTTATCAACTGTATACGAAACTGTTTATTTGTTTTCTATGACACCCGTCTGGTTATCGTACACAAAATCCATGTCCCCGCAGTCATAAATTGAGTACACATGGTCGTTACTCAATAGCCCATAGACAAATCACATCGATAGACGAACACGAAAGTGACTACAACAAGGGTCGACGACCGCTTATCAAACAGTGGGAGGCAGTTTTTACATCCGATTATGACGAATCAATTTGTTTACAATTAAAACATTGTCAAGATAGGGCGTAGTTGTTCAATAGTTTGTAAAAATGTCAACAATCAAACAAGCTGTTATCGAGTTCTAAAATAACGTGATCTCTACTTGGTTCTCATTATGATTATCGCATCGATATGGGAGAAAAATTGTTTTGAAAAATTTGCTCAACTTTTCCCTCTATAGGACGGAGGCGAATGGACCATTGATAGATGAAAATCTATAAATACAATTTGTTGCTATTGCACATATAATGTTATGATGACTTGATGGCGCCGTTGCTGAGCTATTCGGCTGCGACGTCGAGGGTCGTCGGTTCGATTCCCACACGGTACAAGTGTTTGTTTGACCCACAGATAACTGTTCCGGATCTGGGTCTGATCTGGGTCCAAGGAGGGTTCAAGTCAGGCAGGCGGCCGGTCGTAAAAAACTTAGCCAAAATCACTTACAACATGATTCACATGTTGCGCCGACCCCACTTTGGTCGGATAAGGGCAGGATGATGATGTAATGTTATAAAGAATGAGAAAATGGAGTAAAAACACATGGAGTCAGTTTTGCGTAACTATCGGTTTCCAAATAAAAATGTCAATTCCGTTACTATTTACTATTATATTATCGAAACATAATACAACAATATTAGTGGCACCGAGAGCAGTTGTGTACTTCTCTTTAACTGCATGCAAGACATTCCGAAGGGATACACAAACGGTTATTCTTAGAACGCACGGCTCTCGGGATGTGATTTTTATTTCAGCCAGCGGAAACCGAGATCGATGGAGCTCAATATAGACGAATGCGCAAACAGTTATGGACAAAAAATCCTAGCCAAGGTTGCTTGAAAAAAAAATCTAAGTAATAAGGCGCCCTTTGTACGCCAAAAAACATTGAATACTTTCTCTCTTCGCAGGTAATAAAATATTACACATTACATAGATTACATGTACATTTAAAATCATATTTAGCACACACAGCTTCATTTGTATGTGTATAAGCATTATTTCAATTAAATTTTCATTAACTTCCTCCAAGCAAATAATTCTTTTTTTACAATATAAGCATCCATTTAAAGAATCAATTGTAATACAATAATTTATTAGCTGATATAATTAATACATATTCGAAGGCGTTGCGAGAAACTTAACAAGAAAAAAGCAACAGGTGTAGACTGGCAACGTAGAATAAACGATAACATATCCTCAGTTTTATATGTACCTGCACAGCTGAATTGTTAATAGTTTTTTATACCTATCAACTATAATACTAAATAAGCTGCCCGGACAGACGTAGTTCCTTTTTTATAGTATTAAAACCCGTGAACCTTAAGGAACATACAAAAAAAATAATTTTCCGAAGTGGTCCAGCCATTCTTCAGCTATGCGCTTACCAACATTCATTTTTATTTAAGAGGAAGAAAATTATAACGACAGAACGATATGTTCTTGTCAAAAAAATAGCATAAGCCACATGTAACTTGGCGGACCGCAAGATCTAGGACCGTCGGCCGTAGGTGATACAATTAATTGCCCTTTTCGCGAATCGAATACGCGACCTCTATTGGAATTTCAATGGACTGCATTAAGTAGCCATCACTAAACACTCACGCCCGCTTTTTGCAACACTGACGCCCGGTTTCTGAAACACTGATGAACGTAGATGTCAACTAATCAGTTGTCAAATGAATTTCAAATTTCATTTTAGTTGCCAAAAGGATGTTTAAACTCTTTGAATTGATCATTCTGATCATAATAAAGATCATTCTGGGTCAATTCAGAGAGTTTAACCATATTTTTATTACCTTAATTGTAATTTGAAATCCATTTGACAGCCGATTAGTTGACATCTAAGAACTGTGTTTCAGAAACCAGGCGTGATAATCGTAGATGTTAACTAATCAAAGTCAAGTAAGTAATCAAGTCAAATGGCTTGTCAAATGTCATTTAAGTTGCCAAAAGGATGGAAAACTCTCTTTAACCATACTTTTGGCAGCTTAAATAACCTTATCAAAGCCATTCGACAGCTGATTAGTTAACTTCTACGATGATCAGTGTTTCAGAAACCGGGCGTGAGTGTCGTATGAACAATAAACACAGCTGGCTATTGGCAAACTTGTAATTAACCGCATAGCTAGATCTGAGCTCTTCCTAACATCCTGATTCATTGCTATGCGATGCGAGTTGTTTCTTAATTACTCACGCCGTGACCCGTTGGCTCAGTGGCTAGTTTAGAATGCGGTCACGCGTATCCTATTCAATCCTCACACGAATCGAATAGTGCCCCAGATTTTAAGTCGCGAAATACCCAGTCCGATGCAATGCATTGAGAAAAATTCCCGCATTCATTATGTTTTCTCTACGTAAGCGAAGTCAAACGTGATAAAATCAACCTAGAAGGTTTTGTGTTAGGGATAAAAAGTATATTTATATTTGCCTATTTCAATGAAAAGCATCATTTCACAAACTTTAGTAAGGCCACGGTTTATCGCCGATATGTTAAGTTCAGAGATGGCTGACTGGGGATGTCGAAAAAATATCGATATTTTTTATTTTATATAATCTCTATTTTCTGCTGATATATTTGGATCCGATATAACGATACAAAATATTCAATACCGAAACTAGTATCAACAACGATATTTTTTATATTTGATTCGGCACAGAATCCATAGGCGTCAAATATTTAATACCTGACATACTTTTTTTTTTTTGGGAAAACGTGTTTCTAGGACCTATATCCGATATATTGATATATCAATATATTCTCTTCGATATATCGAGGCCATTATTGATATTTTTATAAATATCGATATATTTCTTCACTTTCGACATCCCTATGACTGAGTGGAAAGTCAAACAGTGTATCAAAAGTATGTCTAAAAGGTGTCAATTAATTTAAAACTGAAATATACAGTGGCCCTAATGCAAAGGCCACGTGGCCGTTAAGACGAAGAGCACGCAGTAATTCCGGACGAAACTAAAAGCAAGCGGGAGATTAGTTCAAAAATAAATCCAGATAGAGCACCCTGTATGTCAAATATGAGCGGATTTGATTTAATGCCACCGCGTGAGATGCTGCACGCGCAGGACCCGCGCTATAATTATCACTGCCGGGTTCAAATCTCACAATTGGGTTGTTGCTGATGAATCATCACGCCGTATCAATCTAACTTTTTAATAACGTTCATCGTTAACTCCAAATAAGTCTAACCAGTGGTGTCATCTGTCACCGAATTTACATTAAACATAAATAAGTTTTCTGTCATGTCACAAGTCACATTATGTAAAATCACTTCATGATCTTCCATCTCGATTGACGGCGTTATCATTACTTGTAATACCGTTAAGCATATTATACCCTTTTAAACTTTACAATTTACATTCTAGTATAAAAATACTTTAAGTTGATATGACGTTCTCTAATGATCAAGAGGTCACTATTATCTTGCGTGTAGCCCTTGTTGTTTAACAATTCATGAATAGATTCTCCTTTATATTGATTAACAACTTGGCATCTTTGCAGAGCGGCATTTAAAGCATGCTCACCCGGTTAAGGAATGAGTGCAATCACAAATAGCTTTAGCAACATGATCATTATAAATATTGACTCACTTTATACAGCCTGTGCGTAAAGTACCGCCAACTGTTGGTTTTTATTTTACATTCTTACTGTTTACATGTATTGACTCACACATTAAACACTTACATGAAGTTTGGTTATGCTATATCTGTATTACTACATAAATTATCCTGCTTGTATATTTATTAACTATGTAATGTTCAGTGTAAAAATGCTTGGTAAGCGTTAACATGTAGTTTATACGTCGCGAATAAGATAAGAACCTAACCTCTAACTACGTTTTAATACATATTTTAGACATTTTTCCGTCTATTAAATAATTAAGTATTAATTAATTTTATATTATTCGTTGGTTCAGAATCACGATAAAACATATTTTTTTTAATTAAAAGGGCTCTTCGCAATGCACAGCGTCAAACACGTCTGAATACTCTGAATAACTAACTTTTGGACAACGAAATATGAAATTGAAACGCGTAAGTCCTCCTTATTCAGATTGCGCACAGCGTATACAAAACAGGAATCCTTGGCGGTCGAGTTGTTTGGCAACTTGTAGAGTGGCAGTACAATTTCAGTTCGCTTCCGTGGAAGATATTTTGGCCACGCGAGAGTCGACATTCCGTTGGGCACGATATGGGACGCGACGTTTACTACGGAAACGCGAACTATATTTAGATCGACGGTGTGGCCCGGTTGGCATGACACCTCGCTGGGGTTGGAGACACTATTAAAAATTATGTTACACTCTCAACCGTATCAACAAATGTGAAACATAAGACCGCAGAGTTTCTTGCAGGTTCTTCTATCGATTCGACCTCTTCTAAATTAGACCTATTTAGTGAACTGGCTATAGTTTTATGACGTTCAATAAGAGCTTAAAACAATCCTATATTAATTAACAAGTTTGTAGCTTCACAAACAAATTTGCGGCAACAATGTCGCTTTTTAAGGGT